TCACGCGCTTGGATGTTCGCGGCTTTGACTTGCGTCGGGTATCTGAAGAGAGGATTACCCTGGACCATGTCCAGATAAAGCCTGGACATCGGAGGATCATCCGATCGACTGTTTCTTCTCACTTCACCAAGATCCACCATGAACGCTCTCGTGATACCATATTGTATACGCCAGATATGATCCGGGGGAAGGGACGAGGTCTGGTTATCCTCCTACACGGAGCGCCTGGGGTGGGAAAAACTGCGACCGCAGAGGCAGTGGCATTAGAATTCGAGAAACCTCTCTTTCCCATCACTTGCGGCGACCTAGGAATAACAGCAGACGCCGTGGAGAGATCACTCAAAGACATCTTTCGATATGCCCATCTATGGGATTGTATTCTGCTACTGGATGAAGCAGATGTCTTTCTCACACAGAGAGATCGAACAGATGTTGAGAGGAACGCCTTAGTTTCAGGTACGCCCGTATATTTACCAATGGTTGGACCTTACTGACTTCATATAGTATTTCTCAGAGTGCTTGAATACTACAGCGGCATTCTCTTCCTAACCACAAACCGAGTCGGGGCACTCGACGAAGCCTTCCGCTCACGAGTACACCTCAGCCTCTACTATCCTCATCTAAGCAGTGAAGATACCATTTCCATCCTCTGCAGTAACCTGGCCCGGCTCCCTCGAGCAGACAAGGTACCCAAGGGAACAACGATCGGCAACGGACATATCCATGTCATGGACAAAGAGATCATTGAATTTGTCCGATCGGAGTACGAGAAAACCTACAGAGTCCACAGACGTGGTCCATGGAATGGTCGCCAAATCCGCAACGCTGTACAAATAGCATCCTGCCTCGCCTTCTTCGACCAGCGAGAAAAGACCCCGGGTAATGACCTCCCGGTAGTGCTCACTGCAGAGCACTTCCGCACAGTGAACGACACCATCGAAGAATTCGACCGATACCTAGTCAAAGCCCGGCGTGCCGACGATCGCAAATTGGCCCACATGGAAGGAGTTCGATACGATGGCTACGAGTCCGGACCTACACGAGAACCTGCCGTATATGACGGTTTCAGTGGTTACGAGTCCGATCACGTCCCCGTTGAGCGAAACCCTCGACGCAGTGTGCCAGCCCGCACCCCTCAGCGACAATCTCAGTACGCCAGCACCTCGGGCGGCCGAGTCGCAGCTGGACGATACTCCGCTGGTCGGAAACGCGCAGTCATGGTCGAGTCTCAGCATTATGCAGAAGACGACTTTATAGATGACGATATGCATGCCCCAAGTCCCTCTACCGGGCGCAGATATGAAGGCGGACCTAGTTCGCGCATGGAGCCTCGTTCCAGGGTTCAGCCCAGACCTTCGCCTCGAAAGGATGAGGATGTGTACGAGGAGGAGTTATATCCGGATGTCGAAGATCATGTTGTGGAAGATGAGTATCGTCTTGCGGCGGATCCTGATGCTCCTAGATCCGCTCCTCGCAGCGTGAAAAGAAGCCCCAGATACACGGGGGATTACTCCCCTGTGCCTGCTCGCAGGACTAGAGAGGCGACTCCCAGGTCCCAGCATCTAGAGGTGGAGTAGAGCATTCGTGCCCATAGCCGCACTATTATACGCCCCCCGATATCCCTTTATGGAAGCATTATTATCTATCGTTTCATCAGTTAAATTGCATTATATACCCATTATTTACAAAGCCCCCTTTTTTGTGATTGCTTTGATATGTTCAACTGGTATATATATTGGCAGCTCAGCAATAATCATCAATCCTCCCCGCCCCAACCAACTGCATCACCTTGCCCCCCTCCGCAAAAACCAACAAATCATCCGACCCTTGCTCAAAAGCAGGCCAGGCAAAATAACTCTCATTAGTCGGATTCGCCGGCACATTCCCAACAGCAAGCCGCACCGGCCCCCGCGTCGGGTCCTCCACAAATGAAAGCCACAGCGCTTGCATAGCGTAACTCACGTCCCACTCATACTGCGTAGAGGGACCACCATACTCATAATGCGTACCGAAGAGCATAGGGAGCTCGGCGCTATGATACGCTCCGAACCAAGGCCGGGGTGAGATGTTGGTGAAGTTGCCTGCGTATTGGTACCGGTAGGTCGTGAGATTTGCTAGATTGCGGTTCTTGACTTCCTCTGCGACGGGACAGGCGATAATCGATTCAGTTATTTCGAAGAGCGTGGATTTGCTGGGTCCTGCTGGGGTGAATGATACGAAGCCGGCGCCTTCGTTGGTGTTGCTTCCTGTTATCAGGGGCTAACCAAGGGAAAGAATGAAAGGTTAGCTGGTGATTATTGCTGCGGGTAGGGGAGTTGCTTACAATCTTTGCGACCTTTCCTGTAATAGCACGCTCGGTCCAGTTTGCGAAAAAGGTCTTGTTGTCGACGGCTGGAGTGAAAGAGATGGATTGCGAGCCGGAGTATGTCGAGAGAGCGGTTTGCAGTTTCCGAGCGGACACGTTTCGCATGCAGCTGAGTTCTTCAGTGGATGAGAGCCCGTCGCAGCCTACTAGGCTCGCCAGGAATGTGAAGTTGGTGTGTGCGTAGTCTTCGTTGTCAAGTATACCTGGAGCACCGGAGTCGGCTATGAGAGCGGCGACAATGGGGTCTTCTGGATATCCGTATGGGTAGGCTGTTACGCTGGCTGCTCCGGCGGATTGACCCCATAGGGCAATCCGTGCGGGATCACCGCCGAAATTGGCAATGTTGGCTGCGACCCATTCGACTCTGCAGGTATGGTGGTTAGTTTGGGGTTTATTTTGGTTTGGTTGGAGTGGTTGACTTACGCCATTCTTTGGTCGAGTAAGCCGACGTTCTGCTCGGATAGCCCTTCGGCGTTCGGGAAGCCGAAGACGTTGACGCGATAGCTGGCAGGGCGTTAGACTATGAGCATGGGATTGATTGATGGGATTGGGACTTACTTCATGATGACCACGATGTGAGACTGAGTCCGTTGCACCCATTTGTCGGGGATTTTGTACAGCGACGCTTCCCCTCCAGATGTGAACCCACCTCCGGGGATATAAAGCAGAACTGGTAGTGGACGCTGCTGGGATTGAATGTTCTCAATACGAGGCGCCCATATGGATAGGTACAGACAGTCCTCCGAGTCTCCCCCGCTGATGAGAAATCCCGTTTCATAGGTGGTGTAGATCGTAGAACCATTGCTTGTTTGTTGGATACATGATGAGGGCAATGCAAGGGCATTGACTGTACCATTAGGCTGTTTCTTCACGGGGCTACTAAAGCGGAGGTCACCAACTGGTGGCTCTGCAAATGGGACGCCAAGCCATTGTCGAACATCAGGGGCCGTCTGGTTGAAGAAGCCTTGTATAGGGCCGCTGGAGGTTTGGACTAGCAGTCCTTCCCCATCTGTGTCTCTTGTAGCTGGAGAAGTGGGAACAGCTACACAATGAGAGACAAGAAGCGTTGCAATAATGCAGAGACGCGAAAGCATCTTGGAATTGATTATGAGTTAAGCGGTGGCTCGTACTGGATGAGGTGCGAAGAGGAGACTGCTTTATACCTTTCTATGAGGACCACGGTAGCCCCTCAGTTGCGCGGCAAAGCGATTCGGCAGACGAACAAGGCCCTTTGACGCCTCGTGGAGAGGATAAATGATACAAAACCTCGCTTCTGAAGGCTAAGGAATAAGCCGCCAAATAGCTCCCCGGATGACCCCAGGCTGCGGGGTCGAGAATGCCGAAGCCAGGCTTACTCTATAATTGGAGCTTGAACATCTTGTAAATAATATGGTCGAAGACTTCATGTTGCAGTTGATATAGTCTATAGCGGTTCTGTAGCAAGCATATCTGTATATGCAAATGAGAACGATGGTAACGTTGAGGAAGTATCCATGGCTCGCCACCTTTGTTAACTTCGGGCTCGCACCGGTCCGTCTGCCTTATGTACCAGAAGACGGGTACACGTTGAACCCGTGGATCCATGAAAAAGCAGATACTTTCAATATAGCATCATGAACTCACTTCGCAAAATCCCTGCTTGGACCCTGCTGGTGGGATGCGGAGGGGAACTGGGATGTGCGTGTGCGGGGTAAATCTGGGGTAAACTTTCCCCCAACCGAAGCAGGGAACTGATGAACATTGCCGCCTTCGACTCGGTTGAACATTCTACCTCCAGCATAGTCATCAGCATTCAGAGGCATTGAGGGGTATTCGATAACTCACATGCACACTTGAGCTCTACCGGCTGTCCATCGAAGCTTGAGTGAGCTAGTAGTGAGCGAAGATTTGCTGTGAGACAAGAGGCTTACGCAAGGTCATTATGCGCCGTCGCACATTAATATGATAAGCCTCCTGGTCTATAGTACAGACAATAGGCTTACTTTAAGGAGGGCCTGAGTTCACCGAAATTCTGCCTCAGTAATCATGTAAGAAAATGTCTCTCATTGACATAAGATGGCTTGGGAAGTGTCTAGAGGAGTGTTCGCAAGCGGAACATTGCCGCTAATAATCCTCAGCGATGATCAGGTTCAGTCGCCCTGATTTATCCTGCCTGTATCAGCGTGATCTTATAGCCGGCAAAGGCAAGACCCTTCAATGGGTAAGTGTTTCGCGATGCGGTCTAACAAAACAGACGAAAATGGCTGCCTGACCTGAAAGACCTCAGGCACCACACCCTGGCTTAACCTTCCTGATTGGGATAAGCACAACTGCTCCACGGCACCCCATATCCTTGAACCAAGCTTTACTGAATCGGGATTCCCCGTCTCAGCGAGTGTCATTCGGGTTGCCTGATCGGGAAGACCGCCCATTTTCCAAGCTCACAACAAAGAAGGCCTTGCTGGAAGAATGCCGGTTGTGTCAACAAATTTCCTTGTTTTGGTTAATTATCGGCCAGACCAAGCAAACCGAGGGGTGGTAGCCTTTTGTCAGCAGCCATCTCAACGAGTTGCTGCAAGTTTAGCGGATTGTCGAAGGTTGGATGTCGACATAAGCCGCAGTTGAGCATAATACCGAAGCTGTCGCAATTAGTGCTGTGCTCTGGAACTTCGAAGCAGTATCCTTTAGCTCAGCCCCTTCTTCAAATAACACTCCATAGGTCTGCGATATTACGTTGTGTAACCACCCAGCAACCGCAGCGCTGCACAGCGCATTGCTACATAGGGTTGCTTAGTAGAACTGATAAGACCTCTCATACAACAGTGAGTCTTGAACAGTCGTGTGTTGCGTTGCATTATTGCAGATTCTACCCCCGACTCCGCATCATCTTTGTCGATCAACGCTTTCACTTCGCGAGTCAAGTTACCCATTTCCGACAGTAAAATGGGAAAAGGGGCTTTAGCCGTGTCACTATTGCCGTTCATCATCGGCATTTACGTAGTTAAGGAGCATTAGACTCAAACAAGGTGCGTTTAGGAGAGGGGGATTCTGAAGGAAAAGATCAAATGGGTCTTCCGGAGGGAAATATTCGAAACCTTGAAGAAAATACTCGAGAGGCAAGAACGCCAGGGGAGGTTTTGTGATTATTTGAAGAAGCAGATTCTGCATCCTAATCTTCTCTATACATAAGACTCGGAGAGGATATTAGCACAGACAGTTCTTCTATGTTCGTCAACTAAATCTCTTTAACCTACGTGATGAAGACCGCCCTTCATACCGAGAAAAGGGCAGAATATGATAAAAGACCAAGACGGCAAAATCTCGGACATGGTGTCGCGGATTTGGTTTTACTTCTGGGACTAGCACGGCCGAGAAGGGTATAGGACGTCTGACTTGGGCATGCAATGATGTCCACGGCATTGCATGAAGGGGAGAGGGGCGGCGCTCAAACATTTATCCACGGATGTCGTGGTGCATGCCGCTGCACACTATCTCGGATTACATTGCAGTCGTACTTCTATAATGTCAATTAGTGGTTGCGTCCTGCATAGTGCTCATGGTCTGACACTGAGTACATTAGTCCCCTTTCAAGACAATTGGACCGTCTCGGCCTGAATCCGCTCGGAGGAATTGCGATGGGAGTGGGTAAAAAAACTGGTTCAGCCCATAGGGAAGCAGAATTACCGCCGTCCCACGCCCAAAGCCTCAACATTGAGCTTGTCTGGTATTTTCGAGACTGGCTAAAACAGTCTTGGCGTTTCTGAACTGGCTTTGTGTCCGGGTGATGGAGGGCCTCACCATGCATGATGACATGCTACCGGAATCTTATGTTGGGGATAGGATATGGCGACAACGGAAAAAATGAAATACCACACATGACCTTAACTTTACCAGGGAGAGCTTGCTGACTCGAAAGTTTACACCAGACAAAATAAGCAATAAAACGGACAGCTTATACGCACTATGAAATAAGCAATTCCGCGGCACATCGGCAAAGTCAACTGAGTACTTGGTGGGCGCGCGATTATTAAATGCCTCGGTGGCGTTGGGTCATTCGACGGTAGGGAGAGTGCCACGCCGACAACAAGCAAGCTAAGCATTTCCAGACTCCATTGGAAAATCTCCGGGACAAGAAGGAGATCAAAATCTGACTTCCCGATCGGACCACTCAACTTGCCTTGCGCTCCAGTTGCCCGGCTTGGCTGGTAGTAATGCTTTTCCCACACTGGTGGGGAAAGTCCCGTGGAGTCACGCGGCCCCCCCAAATTCCAACATCAGCGCGCCATGACATCTTCTCTCTCATGGCCTGACCGCTCAGATGCCTTCCCAGCTCACCTTTCTCTGCTTTTTCTTCATGCTGTCTTCTTTCACTAGGCCCCCGTCGGATGCATCGAGGACCACTTGTGACTGGATAAGTTCTCTGCCAGACTCTACTAGTTTATGATTTCATCCCGCGTCCGGTGTAATAACCTTAGTATAGCCGCTTCCCAATCAGTCGCCCGAGTTGAGTTTTCTTTGAGACCGGGGTGGTGGGCCTAGGGCTCGGACAACATCCGTTGCTCGCACCCCTCGGATAATGGATTCCAATTTCTAAGACACAATACAGTCAGTAACGTGGGCCTGGCCTGTATCGAAGTGCCTGGACGCGGGGCTAAAGCCTGGGGTGCTTATTGCGGAGATAATAGGAACCACGGTTGGCGTGCCCCAGGACAACCTAGAGCTCCAATTGGTGGCCGGGTAGCGACTGGAGCTAGACTAACAACCACCCCGGCTGTTGGAGAGTCGCCGCGCTAACACCAAGACCAATCAGCGAGTGCTTTGCATAAGATCCAGCCATGTGGCGACTGGTGGGATATCAGACACGTTACAGAGCCGTACACCGTACCGCCCAAGTCAGCCCGAGCATACCACTACCCCGGTGAGAAGCTGTGGTATCTTTCTCTCTCGGCCCTGGTCCCTATGCGGAGTATTTCGTACTAACCAGGGGGTCCGCTATGTGACTCGCACATCGGCATCCGTCTTTCACTTGCATGCGGGCCCACGGCAGGCCTCTGGACGTCATCTCGACCAGCTCGGTCGGCAGCAGTCCGGTCTCCATTGACCGGAGAAGCGGATTGATCATCAGCCCATGTAGAGCTTACAGAAACCCCGCGACTGTTTGCTTTCGGGCTAGTCGTTGGCCTGTTTCTTTTTCTATGAGCATGCCCCCGGACGTGAAAATGGCTATTTCTCTCTCTCCATTCTGCTTTCCCCTGTTTTACCTTCTGGTGCCTCTCCTGCAAAGCCAAAATTCTTGTGGTACAGGCAATTCAGCACAATGCAGGGCCAAGCACTTCGTTATGCCCAGATCTTCTTAGTCGCTTGTCCCTCCTTTATCCTTTTCGGTTACAATCAGTCCGGTGTCGGAGGACTCGATGACTTCCCCTCCTGGGTGAGGGTCTTTCCAGAGATTGACACAGTCAACACTACTGGGGCGCAAGAGTCTCACAATGCCACCGTTCAAGGAGCCGTGGTTGCGTCGTACACAATAGGAGCCCTCTTCGGGTCACTTATTTGTACGATGATTGGTGACATGCTTGGACGTCGCCGATCGATCTTTTCTGGCGCACTCATTGCATTGATTGGTCAGATACTGGAATGCACCGCCTATTCTCTAGCTCAATTCGTCGTTGGGAGAGTGATTTTGGGTTTTGGTGTTGGCATGCTCAGTGCGACTGTACCTGTCTGGCAATCCGAGTGCGCGCCTGCCGCCCAGCGAGGACGGAACGTGGTGTTGACAGGCATGTTCATCGCGTTTGGTTTCGCTTTGACGCAATGGGTGAATTTCGGTTTCTACCACATGGAGAATTCGCCCGCCTCATGGAGAGCATCACTTGCCATCCCCGCCTTGTTTTCGTTCATAATTATGGGCAGCATCTTCTTCCTCCCAGAGTCGCCGCGTTGGCTCGTCATGAAGAACAAATCAGACGTAGCACAATTTACTCTGGCGTCTCTGAGGGGACAAGAAGTAGACTCGCTGGAGGTTGTCGCAGAGCTACGGGCTTACGAGCTTTCTCTGGAGGAGTCCTCGAACAACTCACTTAAGCTCCGGGACATTTTCACTATGGGAGAAGAGAAGCTCCTGTACAGGTTCATCCTATGTGTCACTCTCCAATTCTTCCAGCAAATGACTGGTGGAACTCTGATCTCGGTCTACATTCCACTTATCTTCCAGACAGATCTTGGACTCGGTACCAGTCTGTCGAAGATCCTTGCGGCATGCGCGTTGACCTGGAAATTCCTGTGCTGTTTTGTGGGCTTCGCCATCATTGACCGCATGGGACGACGCACAGCGTTTATGGTCAGTGGCGGTGGCATGGGCATGTGCATGCTGGCATTGGCGGTCTCCAATTCCTTCTCCAATAACCATACCGCATCCATCATCTCCGCCCTGTTCATTTTCATTTACAACTTCTTCCTTCCGATCGGCTTCTTGGGCGCCAACTTCCTTTACCCAGCCGAGGTTGCTCCTGCGCGTCTTCGTGTCGCCATGCAAGCAATTTCGATTGCCAATCAATGGCTCTGGTATGGCTCTCACTCATAATAATTCAACTGCTTTCCACCTTATGCTGACTCTTCTCTCCTTCAGGATGTTTGTCGTCGCAATGATTACGCCTGTCGCCATTGACAACATCGGCTATCGCTACTATATCGTCTACGCCATCATCGGTGGCATTATCCCTCCCGTCATCTACCTGTTCTACCCAGAAACAAAGGGCCGGTCCCTAGAAGAAGTTGACGAGATCTTCCGTGACGCTCCCACCATCTTCTCTGCAGTGTCGATGTCGAAGCACAAGCCCATGGGAGATAGGGCCATGGAGCGTGTCATGGAAGAGAAGGCAACTGTGGAAGAGATAGAGTAATAGCATAGAAGGATGAATTTGGATGAACTTATGAGCGTCATGTGTCTTAGATAGACATAGATCTACACTGCCATGATACACGTCTGCTATATTTTATACATGGTTCTCGTAGCTACCTTGCTATTTGTGTATTACCACTTCCATGATTGTCAAAGGCACTTTAGGACTCCAAAGAAAATCAAATCAGTGCCCAGCAAACTGGTAACATATTATGAGCCCACAGGCGACAACCTAGTCCCGTGACATACAGTCACAAATTGAATCCTTGTAACCGGATGCTCAGCCGAAATCAAAAACTATGTAGAACTAAATATTGTTCACAGCAGGACAATTTACAAAGAGACAGACATTAGTGTGTTCAATTCTAGATCCTGTCATACTCATTCTATACAAAAGACAGTCAACCCTATGATAGTGCTCCAACGGAATCATTGGCATCAGCGCAAGAACACTAGGTCTCGCTTACAAGCGACTTCTCTGCCATTATTTAAGTGAACATCGTCGATACCGGTGTTGGCACACCGTCAATCTTGTGCAATGGAGCCCATGGGCGTCTCAGACTCGCTGTGAGGTTATTGATAGGTATAAATAGGGCCCTACTTTGGGATCAGCACAGTTAGAGTGCTATGTATATCAACTCGATAAGCAGAGGTATTGGTGGTGATGAGCACTCTGTTCACACGGTATGTGGTGTTCTCGATGACGATATTACCGCTCTTAGCACCGTTTATGAGCTTGAAGGATGACTAGGGTGTTGTCGAAAGAAGCCTTCTCTTTGGCTACACCCGCGCATTGCCTCGAGTGAATCTTGTGAGAGCAGATGGAAAGGCTGTTGTCAATACTCACTGGGAGAGACGGTGAAAACTGCAAGAATGGGCATTAGTAAGACTAACAATGATCATTTAAGAGATCTGAGAACAGCTCAACTGCAGGTTTTTACAAAGTGCATTGAACGCAAGGCTGTCATGACCTACGCAACATAACAGAAACCTTCGGTCTCCTCTACACCGAGTCTGTTGGCACACACCATGAGGCTTCTATATTGTTTGTGCATTAGTTTCATATACTGTCTCCTGCCCTACAGGACCCTGACCCTCCACAAGCTTGAATTCTCACGAACACTATGCAGATCGTGCGGGGTCCGCAACGCCTTGTATGCTCGATTGGTGGAAATGTGTTCAGCCCATCTGCAGGGTCTCTGCTTATCATGCATAAAAGCGGAGAAGTCTACCTACGCATGACAATATCGGGTTATTTCTGAAGCCCTGAACTTCGCTGTTGGGATCTCATATTTAAGATATGGAAGGTGTATTGTGATCTGCTTCATTCTCTCTTGGAACATCAATTTCATCAGTGACCTAAGGCGCATACAACTTTGGCCAGGATGAGGCTTCCAGTGCTGCTGAAACTCGTGGTCGCTCTAGCAACCTTATGCCAGGCACTGTCAGTATCGAATAACTCAAGTGGAGCTGTGACATGGGACGGATATAGCTTGATAGTCAATGGGGAGAGGGTTTTCGTCAAGTATGTGGATTGTGCGCAGTACTGATCCCACCCGAGTGGCTAACCACTTTCCATAAGTGCTGCTGAGTTTCATTACCAGAGACTGCCCGTCCCTGAAATGTGGTTGGTGAGTCAGCATTGCTTTTTTATATCCGGAGAGGTTTGAAATCTAAGGCTTTCTCAATCTAGGATGTGCTGCAAAAGTTTAAAGCAAATGGCTTCAACACAATTAGGTTGGTGATATGCTTCTCTACAGATTGGACATCCGGTTAATTTCAGCTATAGTGTCTACTTCTTCTGGAGTTATCATTCTGCTTCCAGGGAAGCATATGATTTTGAAAGTGGAGCACATAACATACAGCGTCTTTTCGATATGGCCAAGGAGACAGGACTATGGGTAATTGCCCGACCGGGTCCTTATGTCAATGTAAGCAGGCTTAATGACTTATGATTCGAAGTTGCATAGACCCTAACAACTAACAAACGAAAATAGGCCCAAACCAATGCAGGTGGCTTAGCTCTATGGGGCTCCGATGGCTCCATGGGAAAGCTGCGGACGTCAGATGAGGCCTACCATGAAGCATGGCTTCCATATATGAGGAGAGTCGGACAAATCATTGCAGCGAACCAGATCACAAAAAGTGGTGTATGTGTACAGCTGTTCCCTGGCGGCTAAAGTGTGGCATGCTGACCTGTAGCGTATAGCCCGTCATACTCTTCCAGGTGGAAAATGAGCTACGAGAGACTAGGCATGAACCCAACAATACTCTTGTTATGTATATGGAACAGCTTGAATCAGTTATTAGGGAGGTGGGAATAACGGTTCCTACGACTCACAACGATCAAAACACGAAATATATATTCTGGTCAAGGAATTACGAAAACGTTGGTGGCGCAGTTGACATTTATGGCTATGACGACTACCCTGCAGGATTCCTTGTTGGGAACAAATGTGATGGAGCGACTGGCTTTGATGTAGTTCGGACTTACTATCAGCGGTTCATGAATTATGCATGGTCTGGTCCAATATACCTCGCTGAGTTTGAGGGCGGACGTACTTTGACTTGGGGTGCACCGCAAAACTATGATGATGTGGGTGGTCACTCAGTCGAGCAGCAAAAACACCACAGCTATACATCGTCGACTTGAAAGCTAATAGTCACCTAGTGTCGAAGCGAGCACAGTACCACCTTTGTGGACATCTACTATAAGAACAACATTGGCCAGCGCGTGACGCTACAAAGCATATACGAAGGCTATGGAGGGACTAATTGGGGCCATTGTGACTAGATTAGCCTGTCACGGACAAAATTGCAGACTACTTGCTGACCCCCTATAGCTGCTTGCCCGGTGGCGTATACCAGCAATGACTATATGTAAACCCTCCTCATTTTGAGTTGCTGACGCTGTGACTTACCATACGAACAGGACCCCCCTCCGAGAAACTCGCGAGCAATGGGCCAAGCTCTGGCAAACGAAGTTGATACAACTCTTCTCAGGATCAGCACCTGATTTGCTCAAAACGAATATGCATGGGAATGGGTCGGGTTACAGTGTTAGGATTTCATCCGGACCATTATATGCAACATACTAATAAGCTAGCAGCTCTCAACACCCGATGCTTATAGCTGGGTCCTGAAGAACCCAGATACCCAGGCAACCTTCACTGTGCTGCAGCAGAATGAAACTCCATCAACCGCTATCATCACCTTTTCAGCCTACTTGAACACCAGCCTTGGCAATGTGACTGTTCCAGGTATCCAGCTTGAAGGGCGCCAGAGCAAGATTCTAGTTACAGACTATAAGTTTGGTAACCAACTTCTGCTGTATTCGTCAGCAGATGTACTTACAAATGCCGTCTTGCCTGGTCACGACGTTCTAACTCTGTATCTGTGGGAAGGACAAACGGGCGAGTTTGCTTTAAGAACATTGAAGAACTTGACGTTCGAGGTCTACGGCTCGTCTACCGTATTGTCGACGCTTCATCATGGATACCAGAAGATTAGGTACACACAATCGGCCGATTCTACTGTCCTTCGTTTTTCAAATGGGGTCATTGTCTTATTGCTTGATCAACCTACCGCATGGCATTTCTGGGCTCCGTCAACATCAAAGTACCCTTCTCCTAAGCCAGACCAGAAGCTTTTCATTCTCGGCCCGTACCTAGTCAGGTCTGCATCAGTCAATAACGAAGTGCTTCAAGTGTCCGGAGACAACAACGGAACCACAACTTTGGAGGGTTTCATCGGCAACGTGACCATCAAGGCAATCGAATGGAACGGCCAGCTGCTCACAGCAACCAAGACGCCCTATGGCTCCTACACAGCCCAAATACCCGGTACAGAAAACCGATCAGTAACACTCCCACCTTTGAATCACTGGCACTCAGCAGAATCCCTCCCTGAAATCCAGCCAGATTTTGACGACTCCAGATGGACGGTCGCGAACAAGAATAGTACTCTCAGCCCACAAGACCCTCTTACCCTGCCAGTTCTTTTCAGCTCCGACTATGGTTACTACGCCGGCGCTAAAATATACCGTGGCTACTTTGACGGCATTGACTACTCTGCAGTTAACATCACTGCCGCTGGAGGTCTTGCTTTTGGGTGGAACGCATGGCTGAACGGGTATCTCATTGGGGGCCACCCTGGCGATCCCGATCTATCAGCCACAAATTTGACTCTAACGCTTCCAGCGTCCCATCTCAAGACGAGGAACAATGTCATCACAGTCTTAGTTGACTACCATGGCCACGATGAAACTAACATCCTTAACGGTGCTGGGAATCCTAGGGGCCTTCTCGGCGCGTATCTCCTTCCAGGAGGTACACGAACAGCAACCGGGTTCAAACTATGGAAGATTCAAGGTAATGCTGGCGGTTCGAAGAATGTCGACCCAGCTCGTGGACCCATGAATGAGGGTGGCCTCTATGCTGAACGACTAGGCTGGTTCCTCCCTGGCTTTCCGGCTTCAGATGACAAGGAGTTCAAGAGTACTTCCAGTCCGCTAGACGGCATCTCAGGATCGGGTGTCCGCTTCTATGTCACCACTTTTGACCTTGATATCGACAGTGATCTAGATGCACCCATTGGTATTTCTCTCTCAGCACCAAATGGCACCATAGCACGTGTAATGCTTTGGGTCAATGGGGTAAGTTTTGGGTCCATTTCACAACTCGGTATGAACCGTTGATATACTGACATTTGTTTGCCATGTAAAAGTATCAATACGGAAAATACGTCCCTCACATTGGTCCGCAGACGACGTTTCCTATCCCTCCAGGAATCATTAACAACCGGGGTCAGAATACATTAGCCTTGAGTGTGTGGGCGCAAACAGATGCCGGTGCAAAGCTCGACACTGTAGAGCTCTTCACTTACGGGTTGTATCAGACAGATTTTCAGTTTGATCGGGACTGGAGCTATCTACAGCCGAGGTGGAAGGATAGAAGCATGTACTCTTAGATCGTTTGAAGAAAGAATTGGGCATTGTGTTTGGATATCAACTGGTTATAACCCCAGTTACATACGTACGCATATCGTACTATGGGCTGTGTAGTTCACGCAGTAAACTTTCATGATACTTAACACGGGTTATCTTCCCCCACCTACTTCATTGTCATCGCTCCTTCCATCCGTTATCAGTCTTCCTGCCAAGAAACATTCCCAACAAAAGACAAACATCCTCAATACAATCCTTTCAATTTATTTTTCCTGGTTACAACCCTCCCCTGGCACGATCTTTCCCGCAAATCGAGCAAAAATTGTCATAATAAACCGCAACTCCAGAAGATCCCAGCTCGGCAGCGGCAGTCTATCCGGATCGGAAGTTGTCAGAGTGATCCAATCCCCAGATTTCAAATCCTTGAGTTCCTCCGATTCCAAGCCAACAAGTTTAACTGTGGTCCCCTTTCTGATGCGAGGGGGCTTGCTGAAAATACAGATTTTGTCGCTCCAGCAATGATCCTGCAAAGGTAACCAGAAAATTTGCACCTCAAGTTCCCTGTGACACACCTTATGTTTTGGATGAGGTCGGAGCACAAAGTCTCCCCATTCCCAATACTTTCGCAGTACCGGACTCAAGGAGATATAATTCTGAATAGTCTCTACCGCCTCAGTATGTGGATGATTGGGAAACAATGGCAGCTTCCATCTCTGTACCGTCTCAAAATCCCACCATTGGAGAAGTCCCGACCAGAATCTATAACTGAATTTTTGCAGTAAGTGGTCTGGACAGATATCGCAAAGCATAGAAGTTGACTGAGATGTAATAACACATTTGTCGGCGTCTCTTTCTCGGACTTTAGCCATGATATTGGAGCAGAAATCATCGTCGCTGTCTGATTCTATATTGGTCCACGCTTCCAGAATGTCGAATTCATCAAAAATTCCACGATTCTTGTGGCCGTCAGCCGCGCACCACTTTCTATATTCCTCAAAGAATTCCATTTCGCAGACCAGTAGAATAGCCCAGGTATAGCGTGGCACCTTCTCCTTCTCGTCATTGCCAGGCTCCTGGAAGGCTTCTTTGAGAAGAGCAAGACGTTTTCTCGTCCGGAAAGTGAGGCTGCTTTTGTTTTCCTGAAACAAATCCATAATGGCGATGTTTGTTATGATTGGGATATTGACTTATTACAGCCTGTCGGTTTAGAACCATACCAGTGGTAAGCCAACTGTCGTGGTTTGTGGGGAGCTCCGGTGCACTCACCTAGCAACACAATGGGACAGGATATTATCAATGCCTTTTCGCGGTGTAGATGGAGGAGAAAGGATAACAGCGAGGTTGGAGGTTGAATGATGCTGTAAGTAATGCCTTGACCTGTGAGCGGCAGCTATCGACGACATATACAGAAGCCAGAAGAGTTTACGCGGAGCCAAAGCATGATGTTCACTGTTTTTTGAACATTCACCATAGTCGGGCCTCTCAGCACCTCCATTTTCTTTTTCCAAGGGCAGTGGCAATCACCTCCTCCCAGGTCTAACCGACTATATATGTGGGATTGTATGAATTTGGGAGTCCGCGGGTATCTCCGGGTAGTACTAATGTTGGGCTTAGGGTCTTGTTTGATGCTTTTCCTAGGTCACTGATTATGCGCGTATAACCACTAGTATCTTCTTCATTTGTGGAAATAGCCACAGATCTTGCATGTCTTGACATCGTCATATAGTGTACGTTCATAATTGTCAAAAGTTCTTTTTTTCTACTTTCTTTCTCTCCCCATAGCTGTCATCTTTGAGTGAGTCAATGTACGGCACTAACTCAAACATTTATCTGGTAGATAATACCATATAGTATTCAACTACTACTAAAGACTGGCCAATTAGATATAGATATGAAAACAAGACGAGGAACGCAATCTGACATGTAATCCTTCAACCAAGAAGTAGGTTCACGGTCTCCCAAGTACCAGTTTTGCCTTCACGTTCTCATTGACAATCAAAGTGTTGGTATCAAGAGAGTGGCAGCGCAGTGAGCACAACAAGTCCCGAAAGCCGTGTTGCAGGCCACTATAGATGCCGGAGCTGTAGCACCGAGTGTGGCACCCCAGGTATAGCCTGCCGCTGAGTAACAGGCCATCACAACAGCTGCGCAACCGGCCTGACAGATTCCGTAGCCCACTGGGCCGGCATATGCATAGCTGGCAAGAATGAGGATGGTAGAGATAAGCAGGTAAAATTTCTTCATAGTATGGATATGGTATGGACAGAGCAAGTGATTGGGTTAGGAGGGTGGTTTCTGCAAGGACCGAACTGCAAGTCCAAGCAATATATTTATCTTCTGAAAAGGGGCGCCAGACCTAAGTAAAAATGATGTAACTACTCAAATCGTGTTGTTCTCCCAAACTATAATTACGAAAGCCACATCGTTCTTTAGGCGGAGCTTCGGCAGTAGACCCAGGTAGCGCTGTCTCTGTAGCCCCCCAGTCAACTCTGAATTCCGCGCGTATAGAAGAGTGTTTATGAGAGTTTAGCTGATATATTTAGAATAGCATGTTGTTCCTAGCAGTATTAAAGTAAAATAAGACAGAAGGATCCTAAATGAAGACAATAGTACATAGACAAGTTATATTTGATAGGGGTGGAGAATACGAGCTCCCAGAATCTATCTCGGGATAACTACACTCTATATCTCGGCAGAAAACCAGTCTTTGACCGCTCCATACACCGCTCAAAGCGGCAGAACTTAGTCGACCTCGTTGAAAAAATCCCGGATTTAAGCGGATTTAAGACTTTACAGTCCGCGAACAAGTGCATGGAAAACTGTAAACTTTTTGACCGCTTTGGGCGAGGTGGCAGAAAATGGTCTGCGCTACTACGTCGATAGTTTACTACAGCGCTCTACTTTTGGGACGCTTAATCCAGAACTTACATCGACGTGCTAAGATCAGTAACTATGTCGAATATGATACTCGTAGCCATTTGTCTCCGGTCTTCTAGGTGTTAGAACGCGGTAGCCTACTTCACGAAGGTGATATTGTTCTTTATGATTGGTCATATTCTAGTTTCGATTCCAAAATTATCTTGGGCGCTGTCTGAGAATATTATTACAATAAATCACTAATAATCACGAAATAGCTGATATCACTAGAACCTCTAGTAATCACAATTGTTTATCTCGAGTAGCTCTAGAAAGCAGGAATCTAAGCATATCTATGACTTTAATCTAGCAAAAAGACCGAGAATGTATCGCTTCAAAGACATTGCAGAACAACGCCCACTTTGAAGACTGCCGCATCCCAAATCGCTTACTGACTCCGCGGGTGCATCTTGAGAGAATGGTTTCTCAATCTGCGTGGTATCCTTCTCGACATCTTCAAGGAAATCATTCTTCTCGTCCAATTCCCCCTTATGGGCCGCAGCACTGCGTGATGGTACAGCATGTATCTCTGGATGGTCGCTCTTGGGTTTTCGGATACTCTGCTGAAACTCGAAGAAATCTTCAGGGTCATAGATTTCCTTCAGCTGCCGGAGCCTTTCATAGTTGGTATCGTAATATGCATCCCACCAGTCAGTCAATGTGTCGTCGATGAAGTTCACATATGCCGCTTTCCCTCCAATGGCATATTTCGTTAGCTCGTCCCGGAGACTTTGGACTTCTGCAATCATTTCATTCTCCTTCTCTTCCTTGTTCCAGCTTGCTTTCATCGAAAGTGCATACTCCCCGGTGCGCCATGGAAAGGCTGTTTCGTCCGGCTTTTTTTGGCTTGTCTGTTCCCCAATATGATCCCAGAGAACGTGACACCCGCCGTTTTCGCTTTCCAGCTCATGCTCCTTTCTTGATATCATCCAACCCGTAATAAAATTGACAACGTGTTCTGTCATTCTGCCCTTTTCAATGATAACAGAGGAGTGGTGTTGATGGACTTGAGAATGGTTGGCAAACGCCTCACCTCCAACTTCCCAGTCATAGAAGTTCATCTCCTTGAGTGTATTCACATCAGGTTCGCCACGCAGAACCTTGGCCAACTCGCTGTCACAATCTTTCTTTCCACCGTTGTACATGATCGTTATCTCTGCCCAGAGCCTTTTCTCCTTCGTTCTGCGATCTCTCCTGTATCGCCAAAGCGCGTCGCCGCAGAGCGCTGCGGGGAGGTGGTTTTGATCCCAGTTTTTCATGGTGTCAATAAACTTCTTCCTTGACTTTGTGTCTTCGACCGACCATCCTAGTGTACCACAAGTCACCATTCCTTCGGGATGATTGAGCGTATGGACCTTCAAGAAGAATGCGGTTGCGACGCCGAAATTACCGCCCCCTCCGCCACGGAGTGCCCAGAAGAGATCTGGGTGATTTTCTGCGCTCACGATACACAGTTCTCCATTCGCTTTGACGATCTCTATCGCTTCGATGTTGTCGATACCCAGCCCGTACGAGCGAGAGAATGGGCTTATACCACCTCCAAGTAAGAAACCACTCACGCCGACTGTTGGACACTGGCCACCAACGACGATAAGACGAGGATCTTTATCATGCAGCTCCCTGTATACGTCACTCCACAGAGCTCTACCAGACACATATATTATGTCGTTATTAGGGTGGATGACTACTTTGTCCAACATCCGCATATCGAGAACAATACCATTGTCGTTCAAACAATGCGCAGCGTTCGAGTGTCCACCACTTCGGATGGTCAACTTCAACCTTTCTTGGACGCAGAATCGGACTGTTGCCACGACATCCCATGCCGTTACTGCATGCACAACAGCAGCCGGTCTCTTCAGGCAGTAGCGGAGATTTCTGACCCACACTGAGTACATGTAGCCCTGTGACCCGGGAAACAGCACCGAACCTCGGTGTAGGCTTGACAAAAGGGGTACGATTTTTCTGCGAGCTTCATCTGCTTCATTTTGGGCAGTGTCGTCTTCAAGCAGTGCAATATCCACTTGATGCTGAATTTCGGGGTCTTTCCATCGAGGAGGGGTTCTGATGTCTCTCATAACGATCGCCTTCTTGTACACGTCTCGGGCTGCAGATTTCCAGCGGAAAAATGGCGGTCAAAAAGTTTCGAAACGCAATCTGAAGGCAACGTTCTGTAAATTGTAATCTTCGATAATATTGATCTGAAGAATGAATAGAAAAGATAGAATACCATTTTCAGAGAACAAGATCCACGGATACGCCTTTATATATCTGTCGGATGTTGCTGCAAACAGTGAGAAGGATAGGGTGATAATGTTCGATCCCTCATAGAAGAAACTTCACTTACAAAGTCAGGTAGACTCATTGGGGAAAAGCCAATGGCGAAACCAGTGGCTCATATTGTCATTGGATTGGCTTTCATTTGAACTATTCCTCATCATCCCACTCTGCATAGTGTGCTGTTGGGAGACATGGCTACGTGTAAAGCCTTGATGTCTTCTATAGTACATGTTTTCCGTACGTGGTCTCCGGTCGCCCGCTCCTTGGGACGTTCTACCGGGTTGGTATCGGTAAGTGCCATGTAAGACTTGCTAGTCATCTTGGTATTACGTTGCAACATCCAGTCGGAGTCTTGAATCATTTGCACCGAATATGGTAGGCTAAATCTAGCGATACGTGCTTGATAGAGTGTCAAGAGCTATATTCGAAAGCTTGATTTATTGAAGCAAAGTTGGAGTATGATGTAGATGATGCAAAGCCCACCATTGTGCTAGCCAAGGTAGTTCAGAGCGGCATTTGAGGTGTCTGGTGCAACATTCGACTCTGGCCTATCAGTCCCAATCTAAGCACATCCAGCTATCGACGAGATGGACATAAACTTTCCGCTTGGCCGTAGAGAGGAGAGTATTGCCCGATCAAGCAGTAGCGCTGCTATACCGTCGACGATGAAATGCTTCATCATAGCCCATTTTGGTATCTTGCAGGAGACTTCGCAACTGGTAGCCCGGCGTTGAGATAATCACAGGACAAAATCCCATACTTGCTTTGAGCTGCCCAAGAGCCACTGAGGGGGCGTTATCTCCTAACCGATCAACTGTGACGAAGATCGAGAGGAACTGAAGCTCCGCGCTAAATGTTCCACCGCCACGAACTGCTGCGATCACGATCCGATTGGCCCGGTAGTGTACTTCCTCTACCAATGCTCTCCCGATGACTGCTTGCAGATCACTAGTGTCTTAAGTGGTTATATCTGGGCTGGGTTTACGTCATATTGTTCTATAACATGCGTTGAGAACACAAGAGGTTTATGCAAGTGATGGAATGGCGACCAAGATTTGTCTCGGTGACAAGGCAGGCCAACTTGCCCCTCGGTGGAGGCATTGCTGACTTTGTGAGGAAAGTTGCCCTAGGAGAATTATTCAAGAGCACATGATTCCTACGCAGTTCGCATCGTGCAAATGCTCTCATCGCTTAGGGGCCCACTATCTCCCTGTGCATGTCAGTACTAATCGCATCTGTGGGATTAACAACGACATACCAAGTTATATGAAGGACTAGTATATGCCATCTAGAAGAATTTCCTATGCATATCTTCACACAATAATCGCTATCTGAGTACGATACCTCGCAACATGGGTACTGAAAGCAGGGGATCTCGTAACAATAAGCCAAGCTTGCATGACTTGGTCGGGTAGAAAGTCATGTTAAAGGCCACACTGCAGACTCCACGTGTTAGGGTGCATTGTTTACTTCGCTTCTGATTGCTGCAGGCAGCACCCGTTCCTCGCAGAACCTTCCTGTTTAGGAAGGCTCTGCAGAATCAAGAACTCTTTTCCCTCTATCAGCTTTTCCAGCTTGCAGAATACCAAGATTAAAGTAAACTCGATATCTCTATAGGATATGTCATGCCATCTATGATTTATTTTAGCTCAAACATGAAGAGGGTTGGTTATTTCATAACTCTCTACGAGTTCCTTACGCTATGCTTGGTGTTTGTATTGCTCAAGGCTAGGTTGAACAAGCTACTCGATGTGACCGGCGATGTCTATCTCTACTGACAGGATACGGAGGCTAGTTGGTCAATTGACTTCGAGCTATGATGGCATTTTCCAACAACGATATTCCGGAGTCGCTACTGGCGAAGGCAAAGTTGTAGGCCCTTGAGTCTATTCCGTTGCATGGGTCCGCGAGAGACTCTATACCGTCACTTTTTACGATAAAAATAAAAAAGAGCCTTGTCTGAGAAGCAACCCGGAAGTGACTTACCCCATGCCAAAAGACCCTAGTGAAATTGAAATGTTGGTTGCATTTGACAATAATATCGACCTAAGAGAAATGACGAAATTGCGTTGCCGAGGCCATAGTGGGGTACAGCCCTATTTCCTCTATTATGATAATCATTCTTATTATGGTTATAATTATGATGGTTTCCAATTTCCCCGCTAGGGGTTAGGGCGTTAACATCAGTCGTACTTATATCTTCCAGCGGTAAGCCAACTGCGTGACTTGAGCCACAATGCTTAAACTGCAATGGGGATGAACACACTTCTCGTCCTATTTGACACATTGTTGAATGGCTGTACTCCTGATCTATACTGACATTGGAAAGTTTGGGGAGACTATAGTCGAGGATGTTCTATTTCCCTCCAGCAGATGGCGAACGTCGGCCGCGAAGCTGTTAAACGCCCGGGATTCTGCGATTTGTACTCGACTCTAGGCCAATAATGAGTCACTCTTATCCAACTTCAACTAGCCGCCCTGCGTAGCCAGCCAACAAAGTACCCATGTCCGGTGAGTTGGCTTACCGGTCTCATATTGATCCGACTCGCAGCCTCGTGTTACCCCGCTCCGAAGTATCAGTCCGCAGCTGTATCTTCGAAAATATCAAGTTATTGCCAGCTGCGCTGCGTCAAAGTACAAGACTGCCTTAACATCGACAAAATGAGATTATCATGTGCGCTTCTCATGCTGCTGACTGTTGGCGTATATAGTGCCGAACTTGGAGGTAAGTGCCCCCGATGTTTGTCCACATCTTTGCCACTAAAATCAGGACGTACTGCAAAAGCGCTTTCAACCGCCGCTCCCGATCGAGACGGACAGGATCTTTTCCTAACTCCCCAAAACAACTATAATGGCTGGGTAAATCCTGAAGATCTCAGACCTATGCCACAATGCATAGCGCAGCAAGATCAGTCGACCTGGCTGGAAATCATGACAAAGTGTACTGCCAAACGGTGCACATCCCATTTCGGCTTCATTTGCACCCATCTTCAATGGTTGACTCATCTCGGCTGTCTCAGCGTTGCTTTCTCCTCAGATGTTATCGCAAGGTATCTCCCCTACTGTGGCAGATCGATACTCGCCAAAGCGCAATTGTATTCATGGATTCGTGACATCACGGGTAGAGAGTGGCTTGTCGAGGTCGGCGACACCAATGAGCTCCAGAGCCTTTCCCCAGCCTCACTAGCCGAGGGGTACTCAACTGTGGACGTTCTCAAGACGGCGCCAGGATGCCTCACCGGCTCAGTCTGTTCATTTTCAAGGGAGCCTTTCCAGCGGGTAATGGCTTCCTGTGGCTTTACAAGCGCAAGTCATCACACAGGAAATGCTGCCCGGCCCTGGGAATATGACGAGCCCGTGCGATCCATTATCGCTCTTGATTCAGAGACAGTTGGCTATGACCTTGTCCAGCAGCACATAAAGGATGGCTACTACTTTGACAAGGGTTGCTTCTGCAGCTCCTTCGCTGTAGATTTCGAAGAGGAGCCTTGTTCAGATTCAGAACGATTGGACTGGACGAAACAGCGCCTGTGGCTCAATGCAACATGTGGATCAAAGTCCTTACCCGATAACTGGACGGATGCACTTCTAACTACACAATTCGCCTTTATTGCGCTTGATGGTTGGAGCTGGCCCAAGTGCGTCATGGATATGCCAAAGAAGGTCACTGGTCTTACAGATCAATGTGCAGCCGATGCGTGTAAGCTCGATTCTAGCGGATACTGCCAAGTCACACGTGCAGTTGACAGGAAATGCTTTTGCCAGCATATCAGCTATGATTCCTGTGAGGGTTCGTGCCAGATATTCGAAACCCGGATAGACTATATCAGATGGCTCCACGATCTTTGTGGTGGGATTCAGGACTGGCAAGGTCTACCAAATAACTGGCGTCAGCTATCTGCGCCCACCTTGACCGAGATGATACCATGGCAATGGGCTCTCAAGCCCTCCATGGCACCGGATAGTACCCCTATTACTCAGCCTGGAGACAACAAAGCAACCGAAGCATGTCCCTCGACTCAGTGGAAACTTGGAAGCTTTGCTATTATAAACATAGCTACTTTCATCGCATTGCTTCTCTGTCAGAGGAAACACATGCTTCAAAGCAAAAACGTCAATTCAGAACACTCACAGCCGATTTATTGGGCTTTCAAGGGCATTCTCCTTGCCACTATCCAGGTCTTTGCCAACTTGTTCAGTTCTGTGCTGGTCCAGAAAATTCCGGGCTATGAAGAGGTGCCCATATTTCAACTGATGCTTCTCTGGTGTTCAATGCCTCGCCTTTCATGGCTGATGATGTTCTTACTTGGTCTACAACAATTCGGGCCAAAGAGCCTGTCCGCGGCTGCGTCTCTGTTATTCGCGGAAATACTCCTTCAGCTCCTATCCGCATATTACATACTCATAACAGTCTATTATGGCTATGAACACAACTTCTACCTCGGCACTGTAGAGATATGGGTACCTGCGAAAATTATGTACGCCGGAGCACTCATGTGGCTATTAACCGTTATCATGGCATTTGCTGTATCAATTCGGGCGATGCGCAAGGTGGAAAAGTCCCGTGTATCCGTTTTCACGTCTCTGAATATTTCCGAAGAAGGAATGCCGCCAATAAAAGAATATAACAACATACGAACGGGAAGGATGTTTCATCGCGCGACCGGAAGGCCAAGGGCCCCAGAAGAAGCACCATTAATAAGGGATCAAAGCAATCGCACAAGCTATGACCCTATTCTCGTCCAGCCTCGCCTGATCTCGCTACCCCACAGGCCACGGCTTGCGGAAGTGTATGCGGCTACTACGAGTTTCTTGCTTTTTCTTTGGATTGCACAATTGCTCTTCTGGGGTGGATTTATTGGTCTGAGTTCTGAAGAGTACGTATTTCCCGCATGCGCTATGCAAATTGCGGTCCACATCGACTCACAAGCCGTGCTTAGGTTCTGCCCCCCAATACTCGGGGTCCTCACAGCTGTGTGGATGACTTCCTCGCTCGTGGGCACTATTATTGCTTTTTCTTAGGTTTTCTTATTTGGATGAAGTAATGTGTCTTTCTCTCTTCCGCTCCAAGCAGTTTGAACTTTTTCGTGTCTTTTATGTAGGCTGAATTTTTATGCTACGTAAGCGTGATAAGACCGTCCGGGTCAAGTAAAGGGCTTGTCAAGTCTAGTAGAACGGCTGTTGACCGTTGCTTCTGTGTTAACGAGCTACCAGATGTCGAACCATTAACTTTGTTTCTACCACTCGTTTCGATTTATCATTTCGTCCACGTAGACCCTCTGTAGATTTCATCAGTACAGACCTCCTATATTGGGAGGCAGGACTCACCTTCATAAGCCTGCGAGAATATGCATCTCCAATAAGCTTCCAATGAGAGCCTTCCTGTCTCATTACAAATCATCCAGGGCTTCCGGAAAGGATGCAGAGATAGTCACCAGTCTGAGTGTTAGGCACGCCCATTCCAATCAATCCATTAGCTGTTGTGAATAACTGGCGGTTTAATTAATGAGTGGCCCATGCTTTTCAGGTATCATGGAGAAAATTGCTCCCTGCCACTTGCTGACGCTGATTTGCATCAATCGACAAATTCGTGGTACTCTGAATCAAGGGTCTCGTCAGCATCAAGGTCGAGACAAAGTCCGTTTTTGCCACAGATGAATGCGCAGACCATTTGGAAGCTGACACAGCACACCTACGTAGAAGTTCAAGGTGATCTTCCAGCAGCCTTGCGCAAGCATCATGGTACGCCCCGTCCCGTGGTGGGGATATGGACATGCAATGCTTGACTAGTATGCATGGGTTCATGCATGTCGCGGATCCCGTTTATTTTCTTCGCTTTTTTATTGGCTATTTGTCGAGGCCACTCGCTGGTACTCTCGGGTGGTGAAGTGTACTGTAATTGCTTTCGTTATCGTTCACTGGCCAAATTCTGTCGACTCAACAGGTCTCGGATTTTCGTTCAAAGGGCGTATTAACATATCCTACTTGCCAGATAGGATCTTGTGTAAAACGATCAAATGATGAATTATGCCAAAGTCCGGTGTTTCTGCTAGTCTAGCGAGAGATGATGATTGCTACATTGGGGAACTGCCATGGTTGATTACCGGGATACTCCAGAATCACGGCCTTCATTCAAAAGTAAATTTGTATTTCTTCTCCTATTTCTTTTCCTCTTCTTCTTCCTTCGAGGTCTCGCAGAGCAACTCGCAGAATGTTACTCTCCAGCTTTTGGATATATTAGATCCCACGATGACCCGTTTCATCGAAGACGGGCAGTTCGATACCCTTGTCAATGCTCTAATCATGACGCATCATTACCGTCGACTGTTCAACGCATTTCAGATACATTTCGAATCTACTGGTAACCCTAATGAGTATACGATCCAGTCAACAGCGCCGACTTCGTCCTCTCTACATGATGATCCTTTATTTCCGGTCGTCGGCACCCTGACCTTTGACTCGTACTATAGTAGTACTATCGACCTGCCATCTTCTCACTTGCTCGCTGTTCATTGTGCAGTTGCGCGTATAATAGTATTAGCGACGTGGGACCATGCGTGGAGGATACTCTTCGCAACATGGAGGAGGGTAATGTACGAGCCGATGGGCCGACGAATCAGCAAGCCATGACCAGGCTCTGGCTGGGTGGCTGGAGGGATAGATTGGCTTTTTTTTATATGCCTCTTGTTGCGGGTATTTGTCTTTTGGGTATGACAAATGATAGATGGGTAAACAATAGACAAATATGATATCTACTTGGCTACTAGCTATGATGACCGCCTGCCTATCATTTACAACCATAACAGTAACGGTTCTCTCTAGCATGGAGGTGTAGTTGTCCTTTTGATTGAGCATGTATGGACGAAAAGCATTAGGTATCATTGAGCCACGCCCCATAATCCACCTCCACGACTTGGAATACCACCACTGTTTGATAGCTATGACCTTACCATAATCAAAGGTTCACCACATATCAACCAATGAGAAACCGACTTATCTAAACCACAAGACCACATTCTCCAGGAACATGCGATCTATAAAACTGAGCCCTTCCCTGGAGGTGGTGCTTTCGACCAAGCACGCTGATCCTTAGCCTCAGTTTCTTGGGTTATTACCTGCAAAGCCACTTCCAGATTCTTGCCTCGAGAGAACCATGTTCAATCCCCATGGTACGTCTACTTCTATCAGATTTTCATCATCGTCGCAATGATCACGAGACACCGTGCTGCTTGCAAATAATGTACCTCCTTATGTGGGGGTTTGTCTCATCTGCAGGCTATCGCGCTTTTACACGCCTGTGCACACGCGTAGCCGGCCCCCTTACCGTCCCATAATTGTTCAAGGTTGCTGGGATGCTGTACTCGATACTTGAACAACCTTACACGCGTGTAAATTCAAAATGACCGAATATAGAAGGATGACAACCAGCATCGAACGGTACCAAGAGGGCTCTGAAATGTAACAAGGGAGCTTCTAGCACAGGAGCTGTTGTTTATATGGTGAATACCAGCAAAGCAGATCCAATGAAGGGAAAAAGTGCTAAGGATCGGAGTTTTGGGGTTCCCGGAACCATCTTCAATAAAATTTTGTATTCGGGGGAAGACCTTGTTGTTGGTCCTCTTGCTAGAAAGGACGTTAGGACCCGAGGGCTTAGGGATGTTTCGGATGCCACAAACCAAGGCTCTTCCGAAGCTGGCAACAAGCTCATCTTCGTATTTACTGTACTTTTCTTCCTCAGGCCCCATACTGTTGAAGGTCGTTGAAACGTCAAAATCAACCCATACCAGCCTCTTTTTGCTTCCTCCCTCTGATAGAAGAATATTCTTGGGGTATATATCCCTGTGGTGAACATGGGCATTGTGTATTTCTTTCATGCCTTCAATTGCTGTGTTATAAAGGGCCTTTAAATAATTCACACAGTTCAGGCTTTCAGCTGCTGGAAGATACTCGAGAAGAATTGCACTAGGATGCAATTTGTCATGAGTAAAATGCCGTAGGGCTGGCTGAAATGCAGTTGGGTCAAGCCGATCGATATAACCATAGAAATATGGAACAAATCCGCGGTCACACACGCCATGATGGAGCAGGTTCATGTAGGCTTGTAGTTCACAGCGATATCTATTCAAGTCTCGCCCCCGCTCCGTGAACCCGGGATCCCCATTATCGTGATACTGAGCTATTAGTGACGTTAAGGTGGAGGAAGCAATCTCTACTTACAAGTTTCAAGGCGTATGTTACGTCGTCAAGTGTTATCTCAAAAATTGAGGAAGCTGGAGAACTTGAGATCTCTCTTATGAATTGTATGTTTGAATTCTCGGGGTTCAATCGACAACTGTTCGCCAATTGCATGGTGACTGTACGTATTTCTTCAACTAGGAAGTTTCATTCAAAGGGGTGGTATACTAATGTAGTTTACGAAAGAATATTGCTGATCATATCATGTGATAACGATAGTCACCTGATGCTGGGTGAAAAGATAACTTCGGATCTATCAAGCGCTGATGAACTACTTTCTTAGATCGCGCCCTCTGCACTTGTGTGGATCCCCAACCGTGGAACCCTCATGCCGAGCTCTTGTATCGTCCCAGTGCTTTCACCTGCAAAATGAGCCAAACTTTGCTGCAGTACCTTTCTGTTGCCCTTCCAGCAATACCAGTTGGAGGTACTGCACCATCTCGTAACACCTCTAACCCCCGATATGATGCCGAAGATATCACCCAAATTGTGTCTTGGACAGACTTCAATTACTCTACAATCATCCAACACTATGGCCTTGTATTAAATACAAGGCAAATCCGCCGTGACCCGTTCTTATCTCCTCCTGCTTTTATTAGAGATGAACCTTACTTCCATACCCGATTCGCCGAGTTGGTTGTGCCTCGTATTAGACGTGCACTGCGTGCTGGGTTCGAGCAACTCGCACCAGAGCTACCGGCCCGCCGACTTTCACCAGTTACCTTCGATGGAGGAAGCGCGGCTGATATCATCGATCAGTTCCGTCCAGATACCGCATACGTCGTAGTCGGAAGCGGAACCTCGAACGCTAATCGCGCCCCCGGTGATTTGAAAGTATCTTGGAAATGGCAGTCTCCATGGCGAAGCTCTCAAGACCCAATACTCCACCGAGAGTACAAGCAAGCTCTGTCTCAGGTTAATTTCTATATGGATCAGCATACCGCCAGGCATGGGTTTATCCTAACAAATACGGAACTTATTGCCGTTAAGCGATTGGACAGAAACGGCCGCTTGGCTGTCTCCACGGCGATCCCGTGGGCGGTGGGAGGCGAAGGACAATTGTCTGTACTTCTGGCTTTATGGTATATTGGTATGCTTGCGGCAGAGGAGGATAATTGGGCTCTGGTTGTCTGAACAGAGATCTCAAGTAGCATATGCGTTGGGATGCATATCACAGCATTGATTTGTATATAGTCCACGTCCTGGTGATATCGGAGTGCCGTACTTTGATATTGACGGTAAGTATTGCGCTATATTCACCAAATTTGAAGAAAGAGAATTGTTGATTACACCGCGTCTCATCCAGTCAAGGAAAATGTGCAAATGGTTTCCCTGGCCGTCGTTTGTGACTGAGACACAAGCAGCTACGGTCTAGATAAAGTGACACTATATTACATACAGCATTGTCAAAAGGAATGTGTGAACTCCACAGCAACATTCATATGTTTGATCTGCTTTCATTATAGCATGCTCCGTCACTGAAGAGCGCTTGAGTGCGAGCCATCTTCGCCGATAAATAATACAACCTGACCTAGAACACATGAAACAAAGTATCCTGGGCCTAAATAAGAAGTAGAAGATAATATCGCGGACCGCGCCATATAGCTTACGATCTCATCTATTCGAATAAGTGAAGTTGCTAGGTGATTTTGTATCGTGCCCATTGTAGTTCATACAGTAATCATTAACCGCAATAGGAGATCCTTGTTTCAAGTCAGAGTGTAGCCACCGTCAACACGGAGGTCAGCTCCCGTAACGTAGCGGGAAGCGTCACTCAGAAGGAAGGTAACAGCACCCATCAGGTCCTCTGGAGTACCCATCTTGCCGGTAGGAATAAGGGATATCCACTTATCGCGGAGCTCGGGGTTCTCCTCGAGGATCTTCCGAGTACTAGATAACATTAGCAGCTTTCCAGAAAAGCAACGCATACGGATACTCACAGTGCAGTGAGCATATATCCGGGACTGATACAGTTAACGCGAATGCCATGCTGGGCCCACTCAACGGCGAAAGAAGAGGCAAGATGACGGACAGCGGCTTTGGCTGCATTATAAGGAGCTTGAGGCTGAGGAACGTTAACAATAGCACCAGACATGCTACCTATCATGACAATGCTACCCGGTGCCTTGCGCTCCATGAGGTGCTTGGCGACTCCGGTAGCGAACAAGTAGGTCCCATCCACATTGACACCCCACAACTTCTGCATTCGATCGTAAGGATACGAGATGGCGTCAAAATTCTCAGTAAACCCAGCAGAGGTAACAAGGTGATCAATCTTCCCGTGTTTCTCAATGACTTCTGCAATGGCATTGTTCACAGATTCGGGGTTGGACACGTCGGCGTAGTGAGCGGTGACGGTAGGCAATCTTGAAGAACTATCAGCATCTTAGTTAGTCTGCTAGGATATAGTCAACATACTGGTCAGACTCCAGACCCGGATTTTCCTTCTGAAATTGCTCCACGAGCTTTGCGGCCTGGTCCTGCGCTTCCTCTCCTAGAGTAATGTCAGCGATTTCGAGCGATTGTCCTAGTATGCTTAGCACGTACTATTCAAGTCAACAATGGCCAGATCTGATCCTGAAGCTACAATTGCCTGGGACATGGTCAGTCCCAGGCCACGAGCACCACCAGTCACAAGAGTAACCCTGTTCTCGAGCGAAAACTGAGCGAGTGTACGCTTGAAATGCATACCACCACGACCCTGAACAATTGGAGACCGAGGCATATTCTCATCATCGGGATACTCGAACTTGACATTCTCATCGGTACGGGCAAAGCGACCTTCTGTCTCTCCCAATGTGCCCTCGGGAGCTTTGTTGGTCGCTGTTAGGAAGGGGTCTTTCTTGATATCATCGTCTTTGTTCAAACGGAGAGCCGTCGATGAGAGCGAGCGGACGAAGGTATCTAAAGATCGCTGTTCTGCAGCTGCCCGCACAGCGGGCCGTGGCGACCAAGAAAGTGCTTTAGCAGCTTGACGGGCGAGGGTGGATCTGAACATTGTATATGTGAAGTAAAGCAAGCAAGCTTCGAAATTACTATTGAATGGGCATCAGTGGTGCTCAACTGCAGCGAGGCAATGAAGTGATGCCTGAGTGAAGCGTGTACTGTAGGAGGCAAATGCTGGGACATGATATCCGTCTTACCTTCAACACAGAATTATCTGGTCACAAAAGGTGTGGTGGAGCCTACCTTTGGTCCAGGCAAATGAGAAGGAGAGGCTCGAATGGCCAGAATTTCCCTTGTGTCGGCGATGGCAACGTTTCCCCGCGGCGGCAAATCAGGAAAACACGGAGATAGTAACGAAAGAAACGTCAAGAAGAATCCGAAGCAGTACCTTTCGGTAGATGATTCAGCAGGACATCCATGACAAAAATAGAATTGGCTCCGAAGAGGCAGAGCTGCGAGTTGCAGAGACTGGGATCTGCCAAGGATAGCGAGAAGAAACCACTCAGATCAGCTTTGCTGTCAGGAAGTTGTGGTGCAGTGTATTTTGCAGCTCGTGTACTCTGTATTTTTCTCTGACTTGTTTCAATGTGATGTCAGGCGCCGATGATAGCCAGGGCCAGGCCCCAATCGCCATGCAGTGATCGGACGCTGATCTGCTCCCCGACTGGAGCTGCAAGCTTCCTTTGCAGTCCGCGTGACTTGCCCCTACGCCACTGTTATCAATACCCCAGGTATCAGGATACCTTTTTCAAGGTTCTTTGACTTTCCTTCCATTTCTCTACAGGAATTTGTCTCTTATCGGCATGCGCTATAGGCTCGACCCCCCCCATAGACACTGTCTCCTCTCAACACACTCACCGGGAGAGTCCCGAAGCTCCCGGCGCGCATTGGGCACCTGAAGTAGCCACTACGGATGATGCGAGATGTCAAACTCAATTCTTCGGGCCACAAGGCGCTACTCAAGTACCGGCATGCCTTGTATACATTATGTGGGTCTTTAATCTCACCTAACCACATGACCAATATCTCAACTTTCGAGCTCATTGCATTTCTGCTCTGTGGTTTGGATTTTGGTTTGAGTATCCTAAACTTGGAATCAGGAACACTAGCCATATGCTTTACCCCGGTTTTTCGTCCATGGTTAGGACTAATCTTACATTGAAAGTTAGTACCTCACAACAGAACCCTATCCTCTAATACATTCTGGCTGCCTGAATGCTGCTACTTTCAAGCTATAAATCATCTGCATATTTGATACAAAGTACTGCTACTACTCAGCTGAATTGATCGGTCAACTCGCGATGTGTGCACTACCTATTTACTGTATACAAAGTAGTCTATTGTCTTGTTCGGGTCTGAGTGCGGTAACAGTGACGGGTGGGTACGTTGTGGGGACTGACGGGTCGGGGATCGCAGCTAGCTCGATTGAGACCCATCTTTGATGAGAGATTGTACAAATGTGTTGTGTAGAGTCTAGACTTGTGGTTCTCTTCGCTGTATTGAATGCGTGGTGCGGTTGCAAACGAAAGGCTATACAGATTAAGTATGCAAGTAGTCAAATCGCTACACATATCAGATTGTTAACCATAAAGGCCGCTCAAAACATATATTCTGGTTACATGTCCACATAGCATGCTCAGCACCTCCCCGGTCGGGGAGCACTTTGCTGCAATTATGTTATTGGTTCTTGTTCCCATGAGTATCGGAGTAGGTGCTCAGACTACTGTGTACTTCAAACAGCAGGAACTTCATACATTACATCCAAGTCACTGGTGTACATGCCACAAAATTCCCAGATTCTAGTCACCCCAATATGGTCTGAGTTGAACCACGTATCGCTTACTCACCGCCCTCTTCGAATTCAACCAGCGGTGTCCCGCTTTTACATTGATCCTGTAAAGTACCTGTTAGCAATGGCCAGCATTGAAGTATACGCGTTGACAGCTGGAGTGGAGCAATGCCTGTGAGCTGAAGAGAGAACCAAGTCCCTTGGCAGACCGAGCTTGGGCTGGCCCAGCATGGCGAGGCTCAGGTCGACCCAATCTCGGGATGAGGTAGTCATCTTCAGGGATGCTGGCGGTCATGACCGGGAATGGGTAGGGGCCGCGTGACTTACTCCTGCTTTATGTACCACCTTGGAGATGGTGCCCCTCTGTGGGCTGCGAATGACTGTTTCCATCTTCATACTCTCAATCACCACCAGTGGCTGGTCCTTTTCTACCACATCGCCTGCCTCTACCTCCACACGTAGCACCTTGCATGGCATCGGTGCGAGAACGCTGTTCGTGACGTCCTTCATTCCCAACGCCTTCTCCATCCACTTGGCGCGTGGGATTGTCAGGCGGTATTGGGTACCGCGCTGAAAAGCGATGATCGTGTCCTCATCGCGGATCACCGTCGTGTCCAGGCGTGTGTGAGGGAAGAAGGAGGTTACAACTTTCGAAGCTGGATCACGATGGCTTACAACTTGCTCGAATAAACGTCCCCCAACATCGACGTTGAATGTGTCGTCACCCGTCTGTTGCACCCTAACGTCAAATTTGGAGTCGTTCTTTGTTCCCGGTGTTAGTTCTGCAAGCGAGATCTGTCGTGCCTGGTATCCTGGGCCAAAGCCAACGGCAGAGCCTTCAAAGTTGGCTTGCGTTCCACTTCCCGGATTCGAATCGTGGTGAAGACAGGCCAGAGCCACCTGGGCCAACACCTCGGGCTCAATTTTCTCCCGTGTGAACAGCTCTTCGCGATGTTTCTCAATGTAGCCGGTCTCCACATTCCCGCTAATGAAATCAGGACTTCTGCAGACCGTTTTCAGGAACTCGATGTTCGTGATTGGACCCGCCACTTCATACTCCTCTAATGCATTCGCAAGTTTGCGGATCGCCTCTTCGCGAGTGTTGCCCCGCACAATCAATTTTGCGATCATGGGATCATAATGTGCCGAGACATCGTCGCCTGCGACGAATCCGGCGTCTATCCTCACATCATCAGTAGCGGCGGGAGTACGGACATGCAACAAAGTGCCGGAGTCTGGAATGAACCCCTGGTCAGGGTTCTCAGCGTAAATCCTAGCTTCGATAGCATGACCGCGACTGGCCATAAAAGCCTCCACATCTTCCTGGGTTAGGGGAAGTGGGGCGCCTTCCGCGATTTTGAGCTGCCAGTGCACAAGATCCTGACCGGTAACCATTTCGGTGA